CCCCCCCCCCCCCCCCCCCCCCCCCCGCCACGTGGGGGCCGCCATTTTCCCTTCCTCTCTCCCTCCCTCGTGTGGGCCCGGGCCCCACGCGGCCGGCTCCCGGCTCCCACCCGTCCTCCCTGTTACGCAGCCCACCCCTTCACGGAGCCTACCTTCTGTCCGTTACGCTCCGTGCCTCTGCCGCTGTGGAGAAGGCGCCCGATCCGCGAGCACCGCCACTTCACCCTGACCCTCACTCTCACCCTTCCCCTCCGCCTCGCGCGCCCACGGCGAGCCCCCCCCCTCAGCGCCAACGGCCGCGCCGCGCGCAACCCCCTCAGCGCCAACGGCCGCGCCGCGCGCCCGCCCACGCGGAGCCCCATCAGCACGCGACCCACTCTCGCGCGCCGGCGGCGGGAACTGGGCGCTGCCGGGACCCCGGGCTGGGGGCGGGGCCACGGCGCGCACGCGCACTGAGCTCGGCCAGGAGCGGGAAGGCGCGGCCGGGCTCTGGGGTCGATCCCTCTCCCGTTTTGGTTCCCGCTCCTTCCCGAACACAGCGAGCAGCAGCCCCGAGGGGGAAACGGGCTAAGGCGTTCTCCAGAACATAAGCGGAAACCTTCAGCTGATCCGAGACAGCGATGCTGCTTTGTCTGTGTAGATACACGTGTGCTAAAGTAATACAGCTCGATAGTTGAAAACCACAGACTAAAGTAAAACTCAGAGGTCGTGGAAGATGTGCTAGGAAAACGAAGTTATCCCTCTAGGCGAACACGGGTTATTTTCCTTTTCCAGTCCATGTAAGCAGCTGCAGGCTGGCCGAATGTCCACACCTTAATTTGGAGTTAGAACGGAATATTCCAACTGGGAGGCACCTACAAGGATCATCAGTCCAAATGCCCAACCACCTCAGGGCCGAGCAGAAGTTAAATCCCGTCGTTAAAGGCATTTTCCAAATTATTTTTAAACACTGACAGGCCTGGAGCATCAACCACCTCTCCAAGGAGCCTATTGCAGTGTCTGAGCTCCTTCCCATAAAGAAATGTTTCCTAATGTCTAGTCTAAATCCCCTAATTACTGCAACTTTCACACCACAGCAACTTACTAAACTATTACTAGTCATCCTCAGCCCAGGGAAGTCTCAGGCTCAGCATATCTTTGTTTAGATCACCCTTACTTTGTCTGAGTTCCTCCTCCACTCAGGTTCCCCTGGTTGATCGCTTTCCTGCTCCTGGGATTTGCCCTTTGCTGACTGTTGTGCTTTCTCCATCCATGTCACCCAGAGAGACAAAAAAAAAAAGTGTATTTTAAGTGTATTTTAGGTGTCTTTTGCCTTTGAGCTCCAGGAACTTGTGGACTGGAAGAACTGAAAAGAAGCTATTATTATTTGTAAAAAGGACCTTACCTCTTTCCTTACTGCCTGTTACTACTTCACTGTTTTTTTTTTTTTTAAATTATAGAGATGGCTATTACACAAGAAGCTTAGAATTCTTAATTTTAAGTTGCATAATTTCTCTGTAATGAAATGTTTTCTTAGTGTAGGTTTCCTATCTCCCACACTCCTAAGCAGATTTTGTGTTCTGTTCAGAACTGGTTGATAACAGCGAATTTTCCTTTGGACATTCATACCCATCTTTAGAGGTTTCTCCAAACAAAGCTTTTCTGATGTCTGTGTAGGCTGATGCATTGGCACAACTATTGAATCCCCAAGGCAAATGATTAGAATAAATTTTCCTTGTTATCTTAAAAACAGCAAACTCTGGAGATGTTTCTCCAGCGCATTAGCAAGTGCTGGCACAAGAAATAAAAAGTAAGCAGGAAGCAAAACCAGTCAAACAAGCAGCTGCATAAAGCAGCAATATTCACTCACAGCAAGAGTAAGCAGTATTTTTCATTTCTGAAAACATTTCATGCTGCTCCTGTGCTGCTGGATTGTGCTGTAGCTCAGCATCAAGCTGCAATAGCTCCTGACCAACCTGGAAAAGGACAGCTTCTGTGAACATGAAAGTCACTTCCACACAGCACTACATTTTCTTATCAGAGTTTATTGTTGCACTTCAAATACCATGCCACTATCAGAATAATATCTATTTTTTATTTAAAAAAACTCTGAGAAAAATGTTTCCAGCAATTCTCATTCAATGTGAATGACAAGAGTATTACATCTATAAACATTGAAATATCTATTTAATTTCTTCCTGAGGAAGTTTCACATTTTTAAGCAATGAAAAAGGATATTCTGTACAAGATAGTCTGCAAATCATTCAAACTCATTCTTTCTGCACAAGTAGAACTGGGAAAATGTCACAGTATTCTCAGGAATATTCTCAAATCATTAGGTGATTTCAGATCAGGCTCTGCGTTTACACCCCCAAATGGTCAGTATCTGTTCAGAACCACGTGTTGTTTTTTAAATGGCACTGATGTCTGCACAAAGCAAATTTCAGAACCACCTTTATGAAAATGAAGATGAAACTCACAAAATCAAGCAGATGTTAAAGAAATCGCTTGTGCAGTTACCTACCAGGGGAACAGAAACCATGGCTGTGTTAACAAGCCGCAATGAAACATCTGACTTGGACTAGCAAACAGATTTGTTGCAACAAATCTGGTTTTTTAAGAGTATTAATACTGATACATACTTCTGGAAATCGAACACTGGTTGCAGGTAAGCTGTGAATGGAAGGGGTTACACATCAGGTAACTTGTGTGGTGTGCCTTGGTTACTCAGCTGTACCCAAGTGCATCCCTGACACCCACCCAGCTGCTGTCTGCTTGCTGTGCTCGGCCTCCTCCTCCTCCACCAAGCTGCCTGCATGTTAAAAGTGCTTTTTAAAGGCTCCTCTTAAACCTACGAACAATTTCAATAGAATAGTTCTGGTCTGGAATAAACCCCTCCCATGGCTTCATACCATCCTTTTACAAACAACTAATAATCCACCCAAGGCCGTGTGCGTGGAGGATTTATTGTCCCAGTGCCTCGTGGTGACCACAGATGGGCTGTAACATTCCCCAGGGGACAATGTGACCAATGTCACCACTCTGTCCTTGACTGCCCACTCATTCTCCATCTGTTGCTTTCCCAGGGCAAGAAGACAGAGAGGGAATTCTTTAAAACAAAGAATGAACTAGGAATGTGGCTGAAGGCCACTCCTCCTGCATGTAGGAGGCACTCAATCTGCGCTCTCATCCCGAATACATCAGGCACTTGTCAGTGCCCAAGGTTTTCCCCATTTTTTTCTATTTTAAAACACTGTTTCACTGAAGAACATGGAGTAACTGAGGCAGCAATGCACAACAGGAGCTTTGTGCAATCCCTGCCTTTTAGAAACATTTGAGTGATGTTATACCAGGTTGTGTCAAGAGGAAAATCAATCGTGACAGGGTAAAAACCCCAGGTATTTTCTCCAGTTATTCAATTTAGCTGTAACAAATCTATATGGATGCTTGCAGGATGCACGAGCAGTCCACAGCATGCAGAGTATTTGCATTTTACAGATGTTCTGAATCCAGAGTGTTTCTTTTATCAAATAAGAAGTACTTTAAGACAAGTCAGCTTTTGAGACAAATCCGTATGACTGAATATTTAAAGTGAAATGAAATTCTCAGTCTAATAAATAACAGAAATGTTCATCTTAAAAAATGTCTCCTCTAGTAGGTCCTCATCCTTAGTCATGCATATTCCCTTAGCAAAAATGTGCTGCGTAAAGAATATTGTTATATACAGCAAATTTGTCTAGATTTTTTTTCTTTACAGGCCTATCAAAACCACGTATTACATAGACAAAAAAATCAATAAATAATAAAGATTACCAGTTAGAGGTACAGTAAGGATCTCAACATCTGTTTTCTATTTAGGGAATAACAGACTGGTTTCCATTCCATTACCTTGAAAGTTAAATTGCATGATTACATAAATGTCGTAAAACAGCACTGAGACATAGGAAGTTTTTCCACCATCTGATGCATGTTTTTAAGTATTCACCCTGAAACAAACGATGAAAACATTACAGAGCTCCTGCATAAAGCCTTGCATTTAGTACTACAGTTCTTTTTTGTTTTCACTCATCCTTCATGCCTTTAGAAACACTCAGAGCCTAAGTTCAGTGAGAAGCATTAAGGCCACACTTAGCTGAAGTTTCCAGTGATCCTCCTCAACTTCTAAGCACTACTGATTAGACTTGATCTTGCATCCACACTGATGTCTTGAGAGATGTATTGTTGAGAACTACCACATAAACATCAGCCTGCAAGGGTGGATATTTATGTTTTCCCATGAATTGAGTAGTCATTTTCTATCATGACTACACACGGTGTTTATTTTTGTCCCCCTCTGAAGCTTTTTCCTAATATTTAATACCAAACATGTTTAATGTATCTGGAAACAGAACTGGTATTTTCATCTGGAAATCTGGGTAATTTTTGCAGCTGATGTCATCTGAAGGCTGCAGAAAGATGCTACAATTTTGATGAGGCTGAGGGGGGAAAAGCATAGGTTAAAGGCAAATAAATTAAGGAAAAAACAGTGGTGCAAATTAAGGCAATAAAAGTAAGGATCTGTTTCTGCTTTTTAGGAGTTTTTCATTCATTTCAGTGGAGTCACTCCTGAAGTGAGAGTGCAGAGTTACAGAGCAGGGTAAGCCCAGAGCGCATTGTTTGGCTCTGGCTGCTCGCAGGAGTGAAAACCTCTTCTTTGCATTCCTCCAGTTTGGGTCACAATTGTTTAATACTGCAACTTGTCTGCTTCACACAGCCAATCAAATTTCTGCTCAGGTAATTCACATCTCAGTCAGTACAAAAATCAGACATATTAACTGGCCCTTCCCACACTGTTTGTTGTTACCAGATATAATCGCAGGTTCTGTTTGGCTTCTTTCTGTTTGGTTTTCTTTCTATACCCGTGGATTGCAGATGTTGCCTGAGGGTGCATTTGTTGCCATGCACAGCTAAATGATACATGATAACTGTACTGCTCCCCTGTGTTTGCACGTACTTCGGGCATTAGCAAGCTGATTCCAAAGGCAAGAAGGACTCCGGGCATTTTGTGCTACATTATCTTATCCTATGCAACACCATAATCAAATCCTAAGAAAAAACTGCCAGTGGTCCAACAAAGGGCTACAAAACCTACATGAGACACAATACTTTAAAACTGATAGATAAAAATGTGAATATTTACTGTGAGATTGGACAGTTCATGTATCTCTGACACTTAAACCAGCTGTAAATAACTTTCACATAAGTGCACAGTAGTCCACAAGTCCACAGGCCCAGAAATGTTTATGAGAGAGATTTGGCCCACCAGAGCTCTAAGGAACACATGTATTTTTACAATCCACATGCCAGCATATGGAAATAATTTCTATCCTTTACACTTTTTTGAAGAGGTATATCTTACAAGACCTTCTGGTAGCTGCTGGAAAGCTCAGATATGATGACTGAAGTGTGGAAGGACATTTCAAGAAGCTCTTTTCCAATGCTATCTCACTTTCTGGAGCTCCTGTCTCAGCCACGATGGCAGGGGCTGTCCCAGTTTGTGCAGGAGCTTTGACAGTTCCACGTTGTGATCTCTGTAGTAGCTCGACAGAAAGGCCCTGCACTGATGGATACAAAAGGAGAGATTTTTATTTAATAAAATGCTCTACTGCAATTGCTGTGAATTTGAGGTTTCAAAGTTGGTTTGACCTGTGAGAAAACTTAATTTCCTTTATGCAATTTAATTGTTTTATGCCATCTACCACATGCAAGAAGCTGAACTCTGAAAGGTAATTTCAAGGGAAACAAAGGTTCTCCAAAATGAACACCAAAGTCAAAGCAAAATTTCATTCTACTCTTAGTCTTGTATATTTAGAATCACATTGAAGGTGGAGATGCTTTTATTGCAGTGTGCTTGACATAACAGCTTTTGGAATATCTTTGTATGTAAGCTTGTATCAGCTAGGAACCCACATTTTCAGAAGTATTTAGAGTTGAAAAAGACAGGTTTGCACAAACACAGTCTTATCTTTGACCAAAATCCTTCTCACCCAATGGCTTTGTATCAGTATGACTCTACTGATGTGAAGTTATTTATAATTTGAGTACTGTGAGATGAAGTCCCAGCTTACCTGGTACATTAATTGTTACTGCTGTTCAAACTGTTAGTTTTTATTTGCACTTTAGGCAGGCTAAATGAAATGGTAACACAAGACAGAATCAACATGGAAGTTCCAGCTGGAATAGGAGACTGAACTGCTCTTGGGTACAGGCTGCAGCGTTTGATCCCACTGAAATTTTCCCGTTTGAGCATTCATCTGGGGAGGGTATTTATACAATCCATAGAAACAGAATCTAACCTCTCTTAAAACTGGATTATGGGAGCGCCTGCATTGCTTGCCACAGCCTAACTAGTGTCAGAGACAAGGAACCACACAAATACACCTATCTGATCACGACTGAGGAGAGATCTGCACTGCAGAGCTTCTGCTGCTGAAATCCATAAAGATAAAGAGGACAGGACTTCAGGAGTAGCACATTTAATGTGCTAAGGGGTGCCAAGTTTTAGAATTTGTGGGGGGTTTTTGTTGCTGTTGTTTTTTAATGACTTAATCTACCCATTTGAAATAAAGAAGTGAATGTGGAGCCCACAGCCACCTTAAACGTTTCCTTTGCAGGGAAAGGCAGCCAAATAATTAACATTTTACTTAATTTTGTCTTCTCTCCTTTCTCATGATTTTACTTGTGTCATATCCCCTGTGTGCCAACTGAATCCCTGTACAACGCCAGTGAACATCACGGTTTACCTCAGAATCCATAGGAGGGTATTTTCTGCCCTTGCTCTTTCCCAGACACTTGGTTTTTCCTTCTTCCAAGAGCTGACACCAGAATCCTTTATGTGAATCGAACCTGAAATGATCATTGTGCGGTGTAAAATTTGTGTGTGACCAAATCTGGGAGTCAGAATCCAAAGGAGTGGATGTTACATTCCTGACTGATGTAACTGAATCTGCTTTTCCAGCTAATGCCAAAAATAAAGAGAAATTTATTCTATTTGCTTTCTGTTTCTGCTTATCAGCATTCAGTGTTCCACTTATGGAAGTAAAATTCTTTTTGATCCATTGGAAATTCATTTGCAATTCTCACAAAGCAGCACTTTGTCCGTCAGAGCTCTACTTCTGTAACAGCCACGCGGCTCAGCGAACGATTCATGGAAAATTTAACCCCAAATTGTGTTCTGAACAATTCATCCTGCCAACTGCTCAAAGAGCTATGAAGGGCTTTATTCTGCAGCAAGCTGAATAGAGACTATTCTAGACTAACTGGTATTTAGCAATGGAGGAACATGTGAAAATGATGAACTAATTAACTCACGTGAGGGCTTCAGAGTAATTATAATGAGGAGAGACTCCCAGAAACTTCTGCACTTCATCCATTACAGTAGATGGGTCAGTTCTCAGCTGCTGTCCATCAATAATGAGCAACTACAACAGAGAAAATAAATGGAGGTTGAATATGAAATTCATTATTTCAGGCTTGCAACTGAAACTTTCTCCTCTGTCAAACTCCTCCATCATATGGAGAGCACTGTCCCAGGAAATAATAATGGGCCCAGTCTTAATTGTCATCATCATTAATGACCTGGGAGCAGGGTAAATAGCATTTTAATAAAATCTGAAATTATACTGCATTGGAAGCTGTTGTGACAACAGAGACACATCAGTGAAGGATCTAGAAAGATAAGAAATACTGTCAGGAAATTGAGAGAGACTGGCTCAGCCAAGAAAAAAATGTATTAATGGCTACTACTTTTCCAGATAAAACCTAAGGCCATCAGGGCTGATTCTTCACTATCACTATGGGACATAAGATCTGGCAAAAAATCTGCATGACAATGCGTATTATTCAATATTCACAGGTTACTTGTGGAGAAAAGCTGATGAAAACATAATGAGGAGAATTTCATACGAGAGTCAGGATATTACAGCATTGTGCCTCTCGTGAAGAGAGATACAAGGCTGGCTGAAAAGAGAGGATGTGGAGAGTAACAGCAGCTAGATGCATCGGAGCTTCCTTGGCACACTCCGGGAAAACAGAAGGTGCAGACTCCAGCCAACTTGTCTCAGCTACAAGACTCCTGGATAAACAGAAGGTTGGGATTGCAGCCAACCTCCCTCTAACTGTTGGGTGGGGAGCAGTGCCAGACACGCTGCCAATGTCACAAAATTCCATTCCAGAAATAAATCTCCCAAGGAGATACCGATCATGTGATATTGTCTGCCCGGTCTGCTGTTATCACATGATGTTCAGGGCTTAGGATATACATCTTTTGAGGCTTGACCTTAGAGGGGGCCAGAAGGAAGGTAATGATTTGTAGGGTATCTCCAAGATCAGGAGGCAGGAGTTTTACAAAGGGAAACTTTTGAGACAGTATATATACATTTATACATATAAATATATATTTATAGGATGAGGATGTCAAGAGTCTTATTCACCTGGTAAGGTGGGAAGTAAGTGAGCCATCTTTCAATGTGGGTAGCATACCATCCAGGTGCCAGGCATCTCTTCTGGAGAGCTCTGAGCTCAGAGGGGGCTCGAGGGCCAGCTGTGATCACCTGATAGAAGCTGAATTTCAGCGCTGCGGGGTCTTCGTGGGATCGCTGATGCTGTAAAAGAAGTGACATTGCTGGAACCTGACAGACCACAAAAGCTGGGGAAACAAGGCAAAACTGGTTGATCTTACTGACAAAAAGTTCTTAGCCTAGCCTGTATTTTGAGCATGAACTGTGGTAACTGTGTCTATATACTAATTTCTGTATGTGCTGATTACATAAATTAATTAAGTATTCATTTTTACATGCTTGCGTTATAGAGATAACTTGAAAAAGTAGTTACTGATACCTTAAAATATGACAAATATCTCAGCCCATGGGTGATGACAGGTACAAGGATATATCCTGAGAGGATATACAGAGAGGATTCAGGGTGGAAATCTGGCCTGGTGCCAGCCCATGTTCTCCCTAGTGCATACCTGGTACCAGGAATAGGCGCGGTCGGACGGGTCGATGAGGATGGTGATGATCTTGGCCTTAGGGATGAGGGAAGCAGCTCTCTTGGGAGCTTCCTCAGAATGGAAATAGTTGGCACTTTTCTCAAAGAGGAAGTCAGTGGTGACATTAGAAGGAGTGGGAAAGAAATCCATGTACCTGGGAAGGCAACATCATCCTCAGAACTACTTAAAAATCATACAAAGGCTGATAAATCTGTTAAGCATACTTTATTCTGCAATACTCAGTTAAAATAAAAACCTAATTGCAAAAAAAGAAAGCAAACCAAAGTTTACATTGTATCTTTGATCATATTTTACTTGGTACTAGCTTGCTTCTCACTCCATGTAATTAGACATTGCAGCTTTTTTTTTTTTTTAACTGGGTAAAAATGTTACAGTATTTATGTATTTTAAAATTCACAAGTTCTCACTTTTCAGTCAGAACAAACTGCTGAAGCCTAAAGTAGAAATTGAGTTTTCCAAACCTCGCCTTTTGCCGACACCAATTGAAGTGCAATGCTGTAAGAAAAAGCTACTTAGTATCAGAATTGCTTTCACTGAGAAGAGTAAGAGGCTCTTTATACGGTGAAGATGCACTGAAACAATCCCCCAGAGCTTCAGCAGGTAAAAGGTTTCTGAGCAGTGACAGAAATCACTTATTTTTCTGAGTCACATTTTTGGGGAAAATTGGGTTGTAGTTGTTTTAGGGCTTTTTGTGAGCTCTCCTAATCAGTTATGAAGCTATAGTTAAATTCCTGCAATTGCTTTGTCATACAAGGACTTCTCTATCCCTGGCCCTCACACCACTTCTTGTTATTGCTGGGGAAAACAATAAACAGGAAATTTTGGCCCTCTTGACTTCTCAGTTAACCTGTATTGAGAAAAGAAATGTTATTTAAACAGCCTCTTCTGAAGACCATGCTTAAGGACCGAGATTTCCTCCAGTGCTTAGACTTCGTTGTATTCATACAAGCGAGCAACTTCCAATACAAATGATGATGTGCTCTTGTTGCCTTTGAAATTGTAACTCCATAACTGAAGTCAATGGACTTTTATTTCCCAGAAGTATGAGGGCTGATTTGATGAGAAAGATGAAGCTGTGCCCATTTTAACCCGTTTTTATTCAGAAAATTATTACAAGCTAATAACTTGGCCTGACTCTGTGGGCTCAGAATGCTTTACCAGGAAAGGAGAAGGCCAGCTTTGAGTGAGGCAACAGGCACTAGAGGCAAATCTACTCTAGATCATGTGAGGAGTTATTATGCTGCTGTACTGAAGTCCTGGAAGTAAAATGATAAATACAAGGCAATGAGGACTGCAAGCCTTTAACATCAAATATGGCACTACACTGAATTCTGGACAAAAAAATGCGAATTGATTCTTTAGGTAGCATGGAAAATTTGAAAAAAAAAATAAACATTGATGTGCTATCAGTGAAAAATATAAAGAGATTGGACCAGGTGTGATATCAAGAGGTCTCAAAGTTTAGAGTCAGCATTTCTGCTGGACACACTGCAGAAGTCTTGCTCAGTCCCTCATTCATGAGATAATTATCAAATTCAGTAAGGCCAAAGCTGAGAAAGCTTTAGAGAAACTTGCCCAAGAAACCTGTAACAAAGCTTACATAAAGAAATGCAGGACTGCTCTGTTTAGACTTCTCCATTTCAACAACAGCAAGATCAGTTCTCATCTTACTGTTCTGCCACTATTCTTCTGTTGGAAGCCTGCAATTTACATCTACACCGCCTTCAAAACGGCAATCCTGAGGTTCTGAGGGTAAAAGAACCCTCTTCTGCTTCTGTAGCTGGCTCTGCTCTAAATCCAAGCTTGGACAAAGACTAAGAGCCAGCTCAGGGCTAAAGCCCTACCTCCACAACACTAAACAAAGTTGAACTGATTGTTATTCTTGCAGGAATCTCAGCCAATTAATGGACTAATGAGGAGAACCCTTGTATCTAATTACAAAGTGGCAAGCTGATTACAAGCTGGCATTGAAATACAGTATCAGACTAGGTGGTCTGAGAGATCTGTCTGTCAGACAGAATCTAAGAATTAGGCAACTACACCAACGGGGAGTTGTGAGGATCTGAGATTTAACTGTGGGAACCTGGCAGGGGTGGTGGGTGCTGTGCTGAGAACCTGTCAAAGGGATGGCCTGGCTTCCACAGGCTGACCCCTGGGAGCTTCATGCACCAGCACCACCTTAAGGAAGGTAATCTGACACCTGTGTGGCAGCCAAATCCTACCTGCACCTTAGGGAAGAGAATAAGGCAGGAGGGAAGAGAGAAGCAGCACAGCAGTTTTCCAGCAACGTGAAAACATTGATTTTGTGCAAGAACAGGCTCGCTGTACTTGGGCTGCTCCATCAGCGCGGAGCCGCTATGCCTCGCCTGCGTGAACTCCTCAGCAGCAATTTCCCACTGCCAGTCGTTCATCCAGCACCTCTCCACTGGCACAAGTGGCTGACTCACCACCCTTCCCAGTGACAATGTGCCACAGCAATTCCAACTCTGGGGAAACGAGTGGCGGACAAAAAATTGGATCTGATGTGTCTGCACTGAGACTGCAGAAGAGCGTTCGACCTGTTAATTTTATGGATGAATACAAAGCCAAAAGCAATAAAAGTATTCTCCCTTAAACTGGAGGCAAAATAAAGAAACAAGACAAGAAATCAATAATCCTTCACTGGTGCTCCCCAGCCACTACAGCATGTCACCAGCTTTCATGCTGCAGTGCTTTACACTGCAGCACTTTGGGAAAGCAGAGGAATCAGGAGTGACCTTCAGGTGCAGCTGTGCCTGGTGACTCCCAGGGAGCCACAGGGAATGTGGCAGCAGGGACACAGGCTCTGTCCCAGCACCACTTCCTGAGCCACACAGACACATTCTCTGATCTTTAAAGAACATTTTAAGAGGCGTTCCCTGCCCCCGTTTTTCATTATTCACATTATTACTATGCTATATCCTATTTGAAAGAAGAAATGCCTCTTCCTGATAGTATCTTTCTTTTTCTCTTAAGAAATCAGATTTCCAGCAGGAACATAACTTTTGTGTCCATATATATCCAATGAACAACCATTACTGTCCCTCTTTCAAAGGCATGTGTAACGAGAGAGACACATTTTGTGACTGTTCTGCACATACTGGTATCTGGATTATTTACAAGAAAGCCTCACAAAAGTTAGTGCATTTAAGATACTCTGTAATAAGATCATTATTCACTTGCATTTATTTTGCATTTATTTTGCATTTCAGAAAGACACTGAAGGTTATTTCATATATGCACAATTACCATTACCAACAGTAATGTCATTTTTCTATTGTTCACAACATAAAAACTTTTATATTTATACTAATAACCCATCTTACCAATCAATCCCCCTGTGGTAGTTATTTCTATTAAAGAACTGTACCTCCTCAAAGGTTTTTGGGCTGGGGGAGTTACTAATGATGGAAGGATGCATGATCAGGAACAAATACAAGGCTGTAGTACCTGCAAATAGGATAAAAGTCCAAGATTTAAAATAAAAATATACACAAACACATCTTTTTGGGGGGATCATAGCTGCAGACGGGACTAAACCAGCTTTTATTCCATTTTATTTCACTGAGGGGATGTTGATTTGTATCACCTAACATTCTACGCTTTCTGAGCTTTTAGAATTAGGACATTTAAAGAACTGCAAATAGTTAATACAGACACTGGAGTGCCAGTGATGAAATCTGTGTTTCCTACTTAAAATAGCCATGTTTTAAAAAACAACAATTTCCCTATATGAGACTGTCACAAAAATAATTTTAAAATCTTTGGTTCAGCAGCTATTGGGGACTGGGGAAGATGAAAGGAAGTTTACATGCAATTTTCTGATTACAGAGAAGAAAAAAAAACATCGAGTCAATTTATAAACTTCTGCAATCTCCTAATTAAAACTGTCCATTAGAAACTCCTTGACTTGAAAAAAATGCCGAGAAATAACAAGGATCTGTAAAGAAGACACATGCAAGACAAGAACTTGCAATTCAGAATCCAACCCATTTGAAAGATGTCTCTGTCCTGTCCTTTCCGTCTTCCACTTTGACAAAAGCTTGTCTCTTTCACCTCTTTAACGAAGTTTCATCATTTTGACATAAAGCCCCCAAAAACCTGACACACACCTGAACCCTGCATTTTCAATGTGCACTGACTGCTGTTGTAACTTAAATTATTAAGCTGTATTTGCATGGTATCTGAAAATAAAAAAAATGTTGTTGGATGATCAAGATCTCTACACAGCAGCCTGAGTCTATAGTGACTGATTATTTACTTATTTCAACATACACACAGCCCATCTTGTTGGAATAAAAGAAAATCTCACCAGTTTTCTGGGGTCCTACAACCAAGAATTTTGGTAAGCGATCACAGGTTTTTTCCTTAGACCAGATATCTCTGTGCCGTTTGTCATCACAGGGGTTCTAAAACAGAGAAGAAAACTCAGAATTTCATTGGCAATCACATTTGAAAAGGCTCTTAAATTACCCTTATATATAAATAATTATATTATAATAATTTAAATATAAATATTATATATAAATATATAAATTACCTATTTTTTGCCTACACATAGAAATATTAGAAATACAGAAATATTCCTACCAGAAATTATTATTTTCCCTTATGACTGAAAACTCATGCATTCCAGAACTATTCCAGTGATACAGAATGGTATTTCCAAAGTAACCAGGTCAGAACCTGCTTCTCTTAAGTGTCTGGAATTTTCTTTAAGGAGGATGTTGAAGAAATATATCCTACACATACATGGTTGCCCCATTTCTGTAACAGTTACCACACGATATATGCTGCATTTTAAAACTAAAAGACTAAGTTAATTATGATTTAAGGCTTTCTATTTGCATATACGTATTTTCATCTTCCAATTCAAATCAGTACCTAATATTAATCTTTAATCTTTGCTGCTTCACAATTGAATCAGTTTAAATTTGTTCTGGAAATGTTACAAGCAATTTTTGACACTGTTGTTTGGAAATAGTACACTGAGATGAAGAGAATTATCTCAACGTACCCCTTTGAGGAATAAGAATATATACCTGTGTTCAAAATCACATCAATTATGGACAAAATACATCACATCCAGTATGTCTAAATCCCTGCAACTTAAAAATGTCTTTTCTAAGTAATTATCATCTTTCAACTAATTTGGCTACAGGCTAATTTCCATTTTTAAAAGGATTCTCTCAATATTATGCAAAACCCTTGACATTTTCCCCTCTAGTTCAATGTTTTATTCAAAACCAGCATGAATTTCCAGATGCATATTTGAGTACAAATTTGCAATCTCAGACCCTAAGTTGGCAATTCAATATCCAAGGCTGGAAAACATTTTAGTAAGCAAGCTTAAATACATTTTTCTATTTGATTTAGTAAAGTTTGCTCCGTAGAGTATTCCTACCAAGCCACCTTAACAAGATTTTATTTGGGTTGATGTTATCACTGTCAAAACTCAGGTATCTACAGCTTCTTGGCAAACATCTTCCTTGGGCAGCTCCCAGCCTACTGTGAATAATTTCTGATCTATCTCATCTACTTCCACTTGGCTAATTAGGGTATCCATGGTCTTAATGCTCTTTTCTCTTTTTGGATGTCCTCCTCACACATTTGGAGAAAAACTAGTTTCTTTAACTACTAGAAGATGCATATAAATATGCCTGTCAAATGCTTTATTCCTGTTAGTTCCAAAAGGAGAAGAAAATAACACAGCATGCACTTGCCTGCCTTTCCCCACATTTTCAAAAAGGCAAGTTAAGTCACAAATAAAACAAATTAAAGAAAATTTTCATTACACATCTTAATGCATATTAATTCCGCAGCCTTTTACAAGAGACAAGGAACACAGTCACATCCTGAAGCTTCAGCTGGCCTGGTTTTATGGAACCAGCTTAAAAGTATAACTGCTTTTCTCTACAAGAAACTGAAACAAAGAATTTTAAAAAAAAACAGAGACAAGTTTTTCTGATCTCTTGTTCAGCCTTCACCTGCCAGAGAGGGTCCTTCTGCTCAGGGAATAGCTCAAAGTACTTGTGAGCCAGCTGGACTGGGGGGAGGGTTTGCAGTTTCAGGTTTGTCCAGGTATGAACGAAGTTGGCCAGATTCACAAAGGTGTACAAGCCCAGGCGGTCGTTGCCATAATTGGACAAGTGTGTCATGAAGATGCTGATCTGTGGGAGACAAAATGAAGAGCACACCTCGAGTCCTTGCATCACTAGATGGCAGTGCAGCCCCAGGTAACGTAAATCTCATTTGCATTTTGCTCTTAAGTCAGAGCAGCAAGCCTTGGATCACATTCACACAGCTCTTACTACCCTGGCCCCTTCTGCTCGAGTCAACTCAATGCAATCAACGAGGAAAATGCTGAACATATCCCATGAGCTCTGGGAGCTGCAGGATGTGCAACACTACCCTGGGGTTGGGCAACAGTGACAGCACCTTTATGTGCATTTAATTCATAGGATACAGCAAAAAAAAAAAAAATGCTCACTGCTTTACTGTAAGAGGAATACAAATGCAATGTTAGAAACATAATTTCTGTTTTCATGGAAGAGTAAAGAAGCCACAGACTAGGGAAGCAGCTGAGGTCTGTTGCTGTGACTTCCATCTCGTGCATCGTGGCTGCAGGTCTAAGTTTTATAGAGTAAGTAGCTCATCTCTTCCACAAAGGTATTCTGCAACACTGGCCTGACACACACACAAAAAAATATCTGAAACCTAAGTATTTTCAAATAACTGTGCATAAAATATTCCCAAACAAAACCCCCCAAAAGTTTTAAGGCAGGTGGTATTTTCCTCTCCCAGGATCTGACTCTGAAGGTGATACCCAGAGAGACCCTCCCGCTCCAGCCCATGCTCCAACTGCACTTCCTTGCTCTCCGCTTCCGTGAAGCTTTCTCACATTTTTGGGGCATTTTTGGAGTCACCTGAGCCGAGCTGATGAGCAGAGCAGGAATACACATAGGATGAGCTCTCAGGGACTGAGGAAGGGCTGCAGACAGAACCTTCTGTTTTCTACAGTGATCCCTTTCCAAGGAAATTTTGCAGTGATGCAACAGTCTGCTCTTACACTGAAATCTGCACATCCTTGCCTCTCCACCACTGATTTCTTTCTTGAAGTTCTTTTCAAAGTAGAACTCAGCCAAGATAAACTCTCCAGACTAATTTCCACTAAAAAATTAGAAACATGACTCTTTTTATAAATAAATCTGCTAATGCTGTGAATGAGCAATTTCTATTTAAAGTAAGACCTGATGCAAGCCACTTTAAAAAAAACAAAGCTTATCACGGTCATAATTCTGAAATGAGTTCAGGGACTGAAGTTAATCTTTTGCAAAGGAATTCCAGTCCTCAGCTTAAAGAAAGAAAAAGGAAAGAATGAAAAGCTGGTATTTACAGTAAAATCAAAAGATACACACTGCTAAATCACTAGGAGATGATCTTTCTTTGTGGGTAGGACTGAGATTGAAAACCCCTTCCCTTTAGGCACCAAATGTATAACCTTTTCAAGTTTCCTTTTTTATTTCAGTTCTTCAAGCAGGAACAGAGCAGCCACAGGACTACGTTGTTCTCAATAAAGTCACAATCAGCAGGTTTCCATAAAAAAAGGTTAACTTGCTTTCCTGACAGCCCCTTTCTTTCCTACATGTGGGCTGACCTCTGACATTTTTAATGTCAATTCACCTCCTGGCAACTCCTCACCTGCCAACAGCTACTGCACTGCCATGAAAGAAAAAGCAAGAGAAGTTGAAAAGATTGCTAGATCAGGGAAATGATTTCTCTGAAGAGAATATCGCCGTAATTTTAAGAATGTCAGTACAGGCTGAGAAACTGACTCATTGAATTGAGTATTTGAATATCATCATAAATAATTTCCAGCATACAAAACTCTGAAAGTGAAGGGGGAAGATTACCAGAGACCCAAGCTCCAATTTTAGTTCTGTTTTTCGAGTCAAATACTTTATGGTTAATTATTTACAACACAAAGATGATCAAATGCTGGTTGAAAACTTAAATGGCTGAATCTTGTAAAGAAATCCACACTTAGCCAACCAGATACATGACTTTATATTTTAGAAAAAAACTCTTCTAGATGGCATCAAAAACACCACAGATGAGCTGAGAGGGATGGTGGATCACTCCCCAGCTCCCTGTGCAGAAGGATGGGAACACACATCAATCCCCTTCCATCTGCAGGTGGTGCCCTTTCACACCAGGACAAAACATAATGATGATTTTTTTTCCCTTCCATACTGGCTTTATGATGCTTTGATTTGCTCTATCATACCACGTCCTGAGCCATTCAAACAAGTTCTAATTAACAAGAATCATTATTCTTTCTCTGCAACTAATAGCATGCTATGCTTCTAAAGATTTGCTCTCTTGGAACCACCAATCAAGGAGCTCTAAAAGGAATCCTTTGTGGCCATCTCCCAAGGCTAGACCTAGTAAATAACACTATTTGTTCAATACTCTTCCACCTCTGGGAAATGCTGCAAAACACAAACACAGCCTCATATATTTCTTTATTCCTCCTTCAACAGGGAAGCAGTTGTGAATGGATTTATATTTATTCTAACAAGCATTTTAACCTCCCTTTCAGATAAAAAGAGCTTATTTGATTTTATTATTTCCAGCACTCTTCTGAAATAATTTCTTTCAGGCATCTCAGCATTTTCTTTATTTCAGTGCAGAAGGATCACCCCTTTTTTAGCTGTTCCTCATAAACAAACCATCATCTTGGTTGCACTTCAATGCACACTCTCCACGGGATTTAATATCCTTCACGAGGGAACCAAAATGACGCTTTTTAAAATGATGGTTTGGGACTAAATCTGGCCTCTGGGCAGGAGCTCCTTTCCTGCTCTCACACATTTTCAGATCAGAGCTGCTCTCCTCTGCTTTGCCTTCTCCTTCCAGCTTCTCCTCAGCATTTTCTCCTTCCCCAGAGTGAAAGGATACAGGTCTAAGTTACATTTGCTCTCCTTCCCCAGTCCTGATTTTATTTGGGATTCTGACTGGTACTGCAGAAATGTAGGGAAATGAGAACAAGCACTCAGGAGAAACAGCTTTTATCTTTTTGACTGCTCATTCTATGCTGCACATTTCCTTACTACAACATTTCCCAATTAGAGGCAACAGCTTCTAGGTCAACAAAGCGTTGAGACTGAGAAGGAGCTGCTGCTATTAAATCATGTCTGGGGAAAAGATGAACCTGCATGATTTAATTTATGTATCACGAACAGAAGAGATGCTTGACAAACAACTTACACAGAATAAAACAATGCAACAAGTTACCCAGCTTCTAGTGCGGGCTGTTAACTGGCTTGGTGTTTTAAAAAATACTGATCACTACAAAATCAAGATTATTAGGATGCTGCGCTTACTGAAATGATACAACAAGAACACTGCTCAAACTAAGCTTCTGGAGTCTTGGTTAACAGCTGCTGTTTCCTGACACAAAACAGAGGTGCTTGCCTCCCAAAGGAATAATAATATCATTCCCAGGAGGGATTAGCCCTTCCTAAGGCTCCTGGCTTTTTCTCTTGGCGGCAAGGGGTCTCTCTTAAGCTGCCAGGATCAGACCCCAGAGTAGAGAGAAGACTTCTTTCAGACATCAACTGCAGCAGCAAGAGAAGCGGAGGGAAGTCTGAGACTTGCAGGACACTGATGATCCTGAAGAGTTTAATTATTTTGGCATTTCAAATCTGGAATTTGAAGTGTCGGTATAAGAACAAAACAGGTAATAAACACTTATTACATACTGGGCACTTATTTTTTTACCATATATAGATCTACTGCGGGCAATTCCAACTTGCATAAATTCCTGCTAATAAACCTGTCATCAAGGTACTTTAGTCACAGGCACAATGTCACCCTCCCATCTGTGCAACAACATTACAAGGCAGCATTGAGGCCTCCCAACTCAATGAAGTTATGCACAACCCTTCAAAATGAAGTTAAATTATGACTGACAATTAATTTCGTGGTCTCAGCTAGGCACTCGCAGCAGACGCATTTCCAATTTGGAATATTGCTGGTATTTTAGCTACTGAGCACATGTTGACAGGCCATGAGAGTACATCCAACTCTCAGAACACCTATATTCCAATTAATTTGGCACTGTGCACACCCTGTTTGCAGTTCTGCTATTGTTTCCAAGTTACTCTGAACAGTTTTGTTTCAGGTACTCAGAGACTCAGTAACAGCAGGTTTTGCTCCATTAGACTACCAAAGTGATGGAATAACAAATCAGAGCAGAGTCTATATTGAATATGTATTTTTAATAGCTGAAAGACAGTCCTTTCAGACCTGGATGCTTGCAGAAAAAGCTGTGGTCAATTCCACCACAGAGATTCCAGCTTGCTGCTCCCTTTTTAACCCCGAGGTTGCCCTGCTGCTTTCACAGCTGCCACGGACCCGTCCACTCGCAGACTGCCAACCAGTGGAATTCCATTTACATAGTGGTGTCTCCACTCTAAGTATGATGGAGCCAGGGAAGAGTTATGAACTCAAGCAAAATTGTGTATTTGATGTAGTTCTGAATTGTTGACCTGACAAGTCAGGAACACCAAGTTTATTTTCTGCTGCTGCTCATTCCCCTTGTGACTCAGCAGTGGTAGTACTCTTCAAAAGACTCACTTCACTCTAAACCACTGGCACAAAGCTTTCCATTCAAGAATTTTAAGGATCATAGAAGAATAAAATTTTCTCATTGCCACAGTTTCAATGCATTTCTTGCCTGCTGTTACATGGAATCAACCCTGAAGAGACAGCTATTCCTGTCTGTTCCACAGCCTCTCCACACGGCCTGCTCACCTAGGAATTTCTTTTGTTTTCCTATTCCACCCACAAAATACCAGATTCTCTCTCTGGCTTTTATGGGTGGGTTTTGAAGAACAGATAGGAAGGCAAAGAATACTTGTGTTCTGCAGTCAGCCAAAATGTTCTGCCAAACTGATTTCCCCCCCCGCCCCAACTGATGGCAGCTTTTGCTGTAATTATGGGCACAAGAGGGCATGGAAGAGATAAAAGTGATGCCTTTCTCACCCATGAAGTGAGGCAAGCCTGTCAAACTGGACCATCTTCCCTGCTTCTCACACTCAGGACAGTTACATATGAGGTCATGCCAAGCAAGATGGACAGAAATGGAAAAGCTGAGTCTGAATGTCTTGGATTTTCATTTTCTTCTGTAGTGCCAGTTCAGGGTCACATTAAGATACAGCAGGTTCCGCTGATGCTCGTACAAATCCTCTCATTTTCAGTGCTAAAGGAGATAATTTCTCCCTTGCTGCAAGTCAATTAGCTTAATAACAGCTCTACTCACTGCAACTGGGGAGAGGTAAAAATTAGAAGAAAATAATACTTAGAACTGAACGCACACAAAGATTACAATTATTTTAAGATCAATCAGACCAAGTGCCTAAAGCATTAACAGCCTTTCCTCTTCATCAGCGCTGCTGTAACCATGTCAAGAGCACACAGCTGGCTACACATTAGTTTCATTGTTGGGCTGTCAACAATTTGAAGGTTTTCACCAAATTCCTCTCCACAGGGCATTTTCCCTTTTCTTTCCATCTGCAGACACACAGTACTTTGCAAGGAAGTGCTTGTAATGCAATTACTGCATTCTGTTTGTTTTTCTTAGGGGCAGAAAAGGTACAGAAAAACTTCATGAACTGTTGGTTACCCTTAAACGTTCATCTCATGGGACAGAAAAGCTCCAGACCTGTATTTTCTATAGTTCAAAGAATCTGAGAAGCAATGATGGAGTTGATGGCAGTGTCTATACTGACCTCCTCATTATATACAGCTCAAACCTAATGGCTCTCTTCGTCCAAAGGACAGATTTAGGAAACGGGTACAGTTTCATTCTAAGAAACGTGGAACAGAAATTTGTTTTACTAATCCAAGAATTTCACTGGATATTGCAGAGAGAGAGATCAGTCTGAAATCACTCAAGATTCTAACAAGTTTATCAGGAAAAATACTTGCTAAAATATTTTCAAGTCAGTACAGTAGTATGAAAACCAGTAACAATGTGAGACAATAAACCAGAGATGTGTCTGACTGGATAAGATACCCATCACTACACACTTCTACAGTGCACCTTTTCCTTGTGGCTTTGCCCCAAAATTCCCTGGCTGAATCAGTGCCAGACCCTCCACCTCCCTGTATGTCAATTATTCAACTGATAACGTGGGAGAAATAATGCCAGTATACCAATAATACAGGCTGCTGAAGCTTGCTTTTTCTTTTCCTGTGAAATATTTTGTGCAAGATCCTGATACAGCACCATCTCGCCCGAGGGCCGCTGCAGTCAGCAAGATCTTTAACGGGAGACAGACATACAGATTACTTGAAGAGGGAGTTTAGTGCTCTCTTAGTGCTTGGGCTCTTTCTCAGCTTGGTGACACTTCAGAATTCGGGATGCCTTACAGGAATAGCGGTCAGGACCACTTCCCAGTCACCAAAGCAAACCACACAACCTGCCAGCTCTGAGATTTGCTACTCCAACAAGCCAACTCTTGGTTCCCAGCAGAGCAGCATTTCCTGAGGCTTTTCCTACCTGCAGAACGTCTGCTTTGTACAGGGCTCTGGGAACAGGGCTATCATGCTGGTTCTCATGACAAAAACTCACAGCTGCACACACGGTCCCGTGGTTTCTTGCGGTTTATCCTGCACGTGGTGGTTGATGGAGCACACTGTAAGGAGGCAGAGCCTCTCTTACACCACTGCACAGCCAAACCACTGAGGAAATTTCGGGCTTCATTCTTAGGGGCACTTATTTCAGAGTAGGGTATCTAGCTCCTGAAGTCTCAGCCTGGTAACTTACACTTGACAAATGATATTCACTTCCAAATTAAATATAATGAAGAAATTTGTTAAGATTAACATTTAATCCACACTCACATTTTCCAGGTTTGGAAACGAACTATTTATATACTCATTATTGAGAACATTGTTTAGCTGACACTGTAATGATTCATGGGTAGTGTTTTCTCTGCTTAGTTTTGTATCAGTGAAAAATAACATTTTGAAAATGTTTCATAATGGAATTGTTGCATCCTCTCAACAGCTGGGTGTTTCACATAAAGAAATCCCAGCAATTTTGATGAAAACACAAGAAAGCTTATGAAATTCACAATGCCAGACAGACTCCTAAAGCTACTTAGTCTTCATTTTAATGTCTAAATTTTTGCCCAACGCTGACTTGCAAAGTGTGACATAGATATATGCAAGACCTAAACCCCACAAAGATAAAAACCTCAGTCTTTAAACTGACTGTGTGCAAAGCTAATGCTTAGAACTTTGGGAACTCTTCATAGGCAGGTATTTACAAACCAGATATATCATCTTTTCAAAGGCACTCCTTAGAAGGAGTCTTGGGCAGATTTTGGCCAAATATTCATTTACAGTTTATATTTAGAAAACAATGCATTCTGTTCTTTTAGCCTGTATTGTATTGGGGATATCATAATTTTCAGAAATAAGTGATCACACAGTCTACACAGCAATGCATGAATCAAAGACCTGATTTGTAATGTATAAAAAGACATTACTGTACTCACATTCCAGGATGTCAGGCAGACGTGATCAAACCTCCATGATGATATCAAAAACCATGGGTAGTTCACTGCTTGTCTTCCCCTCCATTCTCAAAATTCTTTTAATTTAAAAGGCTTATACCTCAAGCACTCATATTAAATTTTGCTGTTTCCCCACATTGTAAAATAGTTTTTGGCTGTTGTGGCTGTATTTCAATGTGGAATATATATTTTGTCCTGACTCAAAATATTGTTCTGTGCCTTCTTCTAATTTGCCCACAGAGTAACTTCTAGTCAAAACCCACATTGCCAAAGAACTGCTATGGTGCCAGTACCCTCCCCATGCAATGGATTTTCCAGATCTCAGCTCTATTAACAACCTGGGGTTGGAAGCAGAGGGTGTTGAAGGTCCCTTCCACCCTAAACCACTCTGTGACTGATTCTATCCTGTGCCTGGAATAATACACATCATCAAAGCCAGGACTGCAACCACTGCCACCTTCTAGAAGGGAAACCACAAGTGTGCTAAGGAAGTAAAGTTTATATTTCCTAATTTTGCTGTGTGAACACAAAAAAGGGGAACAAAACACAGTAACTGCTCTCAAAGAGCCTGAAAGCATCTGAGGCTTGAAAAATACAGCTGCACATAAATTGCTGAAGTAGCTTTCAGAAATGGTTTTCATTTGGACTGCATTACATTGCAGAAGATTAAAAAAGGGCACAAAATATTTAGGCTGTTATTCCAAAAGATTTGATTGGAAATGTTTTGTTCTCTTTGATCTTCCTAGTGACTACATTTCTATAAAGCAGCAGAATTTTATTTGTATGTTTGATTTGGACCCCAAGTGAAAGCCTTATCTAAAAGCTTGTCTTAAAGGTCAGTTCTGAGGCAGTTGACCTAATCCCATGCCATTTTGAAGTACTACACTGCTCTCTTCTGTCAGCATTCTGTAGTTTCAGCACCTCACTTCTTGCTTATTTTCCATTAAAGATAAATGAAAGGTTAAGCACATGTGGTTCATTTACTCAGATCTTTTCTTTGAACTGTGTGGCTCTTTTACTTGGATCTCTTCTTTGAAGCTGCTATGAGAGAGCAACTGAAATTTCTCAAAACTGATTGGAGCCCAAGCCCTCCTTGCTTGCAGCTTTCTCACCTCAGTAAGTGTTCCCAACACTTTGCATCACGACTTTGGCACAGCAGAGAAATGAACTTTACCTGAGATACTCATAGCAGTTCTTTACATTCGAATTCTTTGAAAAATCATATCTCAGGGGTCTTATTTCATGCAAAAAGTAAAGAACAAGACAGGCTGGCACTGCTGCATTACTAACAAAACAGTTGACAAAAAAAGGTGAAGACTGCTTTGTATAACTAACAGAACATATCTAGATGGTAATTTACTTAATTGAAAAAGCCAAAGAACTCACTATCAGTAACCATTATTATTTGGGAGACCCAGGTGATCAGCCTTGGAACATTCAGGAACTTTTCCTTCAATTAATTTTTAAAAAACATTTCAAAATCCTGCTGTACTTACTGGATTGAGAACCACTGTGAAGAACAACTCTCCTCCTTGAATACTTTTGTCTAATTCCTTTGGACCTCCAGGATACTCTTTATAGAAAATGGTGTGCGTGAATAGGCCGCAAGTTTGCCTAGGAAGCACCTGAATTTATGAAGGAAACATAAAAAACTCAAGGGGTTATGCTTTTAATGATGCTAAAAGTCAGAGAAGTAACATGTAACAGATAATTGCTGGGTATATCTGGCCTCTGGAAAAAACTTTTCTGGAAACCAGTACCGATCTAGATTAATTGTTATCACTAAAATCGTAACATCCAAAAAATCCATCACATTTTGTTTGAAATTGGAGACTGATCTCTATCATCAAATTACAATTACAGACTCCTTGAACTCATTCTGTCCATAACACCTCATCCTAAATCCAAGTATTTGAAGTCTAAAGTTTTAAAATAATGTGAAAGATAATCTAAAATATTATCAGTCTGTATCGTATCAATCAGTTCCACTTTTATCTGAATGATGGCTTTGTGGTAAATTTAAACTGTGACTGGAAAGGCAAATTGGGGTTTCTTTGGCTTAGGCATCACCACCAACAATTCTACTTTGACACATGAGAAATTTTGCCAATAATGCTCACCTCATTAGAAATATTTACTTCCCATGCAACTGTGCTGTTATTGAAATATGTAGTACAAGCAAAATTATTTTTAGAAACATTCCAAGAACAAATCTTTTGAATATGAAGAACTAGTAAACGCAGTTAACATTTCTCATCAGGAACTCAAAATATTTTCTCCTGAATTCAGAAAATAATTTACTGGAGAGTATTTCAATTATGCCTATTCCTTATGGAAAATCAACAGCTGAGTATGGATGTTCATGTATAGAGCTTAACTGGGATTGTTATGATAGATTAACTTTTAAAGCATACAAATATTTGACACAGGCTGTGGTTTTGTAGGTACTCTTTTATTTCTTGAAGTTTCATTTCTCAACTTCTTTCTTGTAATGCAGAGAATATTGTGATCACGGATTGCAAATTCTGTGTTGTCAAAAAATGTATGGAATTTGTACATCTGCTATAAACTTGCCTAAGTTTTTAACAAACCTTTGGATTTCCTTGAGGAAATAAGTGAACAATTTTTCACAGAGGCAGGTAATGAAGCTGTACTTGATGTGAGGTGCTCTGACAAATCTTACACAACCATGTTTTTACTGAGTGTGTTCATTACTATTAGCCTGCAGGTGTAAAATATTGATGCATTTGCCCTGGAGAACTGAAAGCTTGAGACTCCCTGAACAGGTGGTTTTGTATGACTGGTTTTGGGAATAGATTTCTGGCTGCAGTGTCCTTGTGTTAAACCTCATTATGTGTCTCCAAATGACATGTTTTCACAAATATTTATGGAAGGGATTTTTGGAGAATCTGAGTCAATCTGTCTTCCCCAAATGCTCTGTGCTCCCTGAGCACATCCACAAACCCATTATTTCACACACAGTGATTGCTTTGAGGAGAGCAAACTGTAGCTCAACCCTAGATTGGTGTCACTTTTGTTCCTAGATTTCTGGAGATCATTTTCATTTGCTTCACCCAAAAATAGATCAAAACTTTAAAATGCTACTACTTAGCTTAGGGAAGTGGTATCCATGGCAATGTGAGAACAATACCAGAATTCTGTCCTAAGTGGCAGTGTTGTGCCAAGGCTCTCGACCTCCCAGAAGTGCCTGCTGCAGCCAGAGGTACAACACAGGGCTCCCATTCACTGCTCTCTCACTTGCTCTAAACGAAAGTTACTTGGGAACATGCCACCAAGTATTTTGGAAAGCTGTTTTTAAACACTTCTGAGATAATACCAATGAGATGTGAACCCGAAATAGCCTCCACCCCAGTGCCCAGATGGCAACAGCACAACGCCTTCCGTGTCAGTTGTGTAGAAGCCCTTCCTTTGGTAAACGTGGCTGTCAGTGACAGAGCTGGGAGTTATGTAATTTAGGAAAACAGTGGGATTTGAGAGCACTTTGGTAGCCTGGAGGTGGTGTGGGGGGTGTTTTCCTTCCCTGCAGCTCCTGAGGCTCTGGGTTAAACCAGGCTGCAAAGCCCAGCCCACATTTGTGTATGGCAGGAAGCCAAACAAGGGCAACCATGCACAGTTCACAGGGAAACAAAAGTATGTACCCAGATCCAGATTCTGAGGTAGCATAACCTGGCAATACCCTTCTGCAGTTAATGGTACCGTGCAAATTTAAAACCTGATAGAAATCTAACCCAGCATATTGTGTTAAATGATGCAAAATGGACTTGTTCCTTGAGCTCTCTGAACCAGCATTAACCACAGGACTAGAACTGTTAACAGCCTGTTAACTGCTGTCAGCAGGGTGTCTGGATGCCACCTTCATCAGCAGAAACATCACCAGCAACAGACTGGTTTTAATTAACAAGACACTGTCAAATATATCTTGCTAGTTACGCATAGCAGTACGTGCTTCTTGCAATGTGAACTTCTAGGATACCCTGCTTTTCCACTTCAAAGGAAATTGTCCATGAAATGGCAGAGTACAAAATGAACATCAGCAGTACAACTCACCATGATGTTTTTGTGGATGAAGCCTCGTCTATACCTTGCAGGTTTCAGATGTGGGTATTCTTCTGTGCTGGTAACTCTGATGTTCCAGACCTTTTTCCAGGCATCATAAAGTTGAACGTGTACTGGGTAGACTCCAGAGTGGTGTGGAGCCACTGCGTAGCCCAAGTCAGTTGGAATACCGTGCTCCTGAAACATGACAGAACAATGGTTGCACTCAAAAATTTAAGAAACTTGATGTTTTGGCATTTCTTAGATGCTTTGTTTGTGAAAGACCAAGAACAGATCTGAAATGCAAATAAGAGTAATATCAAAATATGCTGATCTGGAAGGAGATGGAGAGCAGCATGGTGAAGATGAAGCACAGGATTTTAAGACAAAAGCCTTTTTAGAAAACACCAGTAGGCAGGGAAGAAAGATATAAATGCATGTTACATTGGTTTCTTCAAATCTACATTAAACAGAAAGCTGCACTCTTTCAAGTTCTTGCAGGAAATTTGCTCACAAACTCTGATGTCAGAGAGAAAATCACTGGCACATACTCAACACAACACGTAGCATTTGGCAGCTACAACTACAAAACCCACAATTTCCACTACACGTCCCTTCATAATCACTTGGATGAGGAGCTGAATTTCAGAGTCACTGCATTTCCCCTCTAGTCCAATCAAAACACAAATCCATTTTCAAAAACCAGCTTAACTATTTTATTGTCATGTTCAACATGTGTAACACTCTACAGGATGTAGTAGAGTAAACCCTTTTGTAGCACATTTCCTATTTTTGAAGACTCCTGGCATTTCTCATGTGTACATACTCACCTTGATTCCATTACATTCTCTTCATATCCAATGCATTTTCCTTCAGGTTACTTTTCAAATGAACAGTATATAGCAGATATTCCTTGATAGTCTGATCAGTGGATAAGATATCATTTTGCCACGATTTAGGAAGAGTGCCCTTGCACTGCCTTTGAATTCTGAGAGTTTTTAATATGGCTTGAATCAATATGGTCATCCTTACCCTATTTCCTGATCATACTGTGTGTATGCACAAAGCATTGGCTGATACCTGGACTTCTTCCTTTGAAGAAACCAGTTACTGAGGAACATGAAAACCTCCAGAAAAACAGGTGTGTGATGTTAGTGAAACCATTTATTGCGTGTAACAGACGCACCTGGTTCAACCACAGTGGAGAACCCTGAGTTCTCTTATGTCTAAAGAATGGTGAAATTCTTGTTTCCTTCTAGGAATTTATGGCACCCATGAAGGGCACCGTGTGTAATCTGCCAAACAGGAGCGAGTAACCTCTGCCCTCCTGGTTGTACTGCAGGAGGAGATAAAGAGTGGATCCTCCATCAGTTACGCCGCTTTACACGATTTAATTCTATCACAGATAATCCATTTCTTCTTCCTTTTATCTTTCCTACTGCCCTTAAGCATGCATAAGCATCAGAAAGGAAAATCTTCACAGAACATGTAAGAAATTGCCTTCTCTAACATCCCACTGCAACTCCTTCATTTATAAACAAAAGTCTGATTTTTAAGGCTTCTCCCCTCAAGTTTCACAACAGGCAGTAATAAATATGTAATCTAAATCTTTCATTCTAATAATCATCTTCTATCATCTTCAATGAATTAGTGTCTCCATTATTCCTTACTGACTGTTATTCCCCAGTTGGGCATCTCCCACACAATACACACATTGAGTGGATAATGCACGAGGCATCGGCAATTTCGGCCTCTTGCAAAAAAGCGGATACTCCTCTCTGTTATTAATTTAAATGCTCTGAGCAAATGAAACATAACCAGTAGCTTTATGTCTGTATGTCTAAACATGAAAAAAAATTAATAGAAGGTATCTGTAAGCATTAAAAGCACTGAAAGTAGTGAAGAAAATGGCAATTGCTGAAGTTACATAAGCCAAGGTTGAAAATGCACGATCCTTATAACACTCTTTAACGATTACATCCTGCACACTAATCCCAGAGGATGTCTTAGGTCACACCAGAACTACAAGGACCCATTTTATTTCCAGTGGAGCTTGCACCAGTACACAGAATCATATTAAAAGGGCAATACTGGACACAAGAATTTTAAATTTTCGGAAATTTTAACACCTACTGCAATGTTTTCTTCAAAGGAAACATTAAAGCAGAGCTGTCCTGTACTCTGTACAACTACAATTTACAGCAAACTTGATGAAATCTTTGTTTGAAAGAAAGCATGTGTCTCAATCAAAAGCCAAGTTTTCAAACACAAACTTGAATTGGCTGATTTGGTCCATCCTCTTCTCCTACACTCACCGACACATGACCATTAAGTGCACTCTTTGTTCTGGCATTTCAAATCCCCCTGCTCCTTCCAGGAACAAAGGCATCACCTGCCATCTAAAGAGCAACCAGTGGATTTTGAAAAGGAAGAAGAAGGAATATTAGGCTGTCAGAAGAGCAGATGTAATCCAGCAAACAATGTTGTGTCTGCTGAGATACTGTGATACAATTATGTCTTGACACCAGACTCCCTCTTCAGACAAATAACATGTTTTAATTATTGCAATTTGTTGTATGAAAGTAACTGTGATCTGTTTCTCCAGTATCCTCAGACCTAAACTATGTTTTGATTTTTTCTTATATTCTCACTGAAACATTTTGATTCAGAGCTTTGCTGTGAATAAATAATTAGTAAAGGCAATGCTTTTCAAAACAAGTTTATATAAAGCTGATTCAAAGGGAATATATGAGGTGTATCACTGCAGAATTGCATCTTTGAAATTGTGGCACACTTACCTAACCCCAACATCCAGTGGTTTCACAAAGTCATTTGAATACCTTTCAATGGTATTTCAATTTATTCTTTCAGAAACTTGATTTTTTTTTTTTTTAAATCTAAACAGACTAATGGTTCCTGAGTACCTAATTAAACAAAAAAATGCAAAAATGTAACTCACTAAGGCAAACTTTTTGTTGAGGATCATCTGCTCCACCAGTGAGGACTCATTGTGGAAGAGATGTGGCTGCATGTGACTCCACATGTGGGGAAACCACCAGAACTCATCCACAGATCTCAGCAGCAGGTCATCACCCTCATCCTCCTCCTCAGTCCCTGCAGAGAAAATTGAAAGAAAAAACCAAACCCAAACATTTCTGAAGTTTCTACATTCATTATATTTTTTACAAGAGTTGGAAGCAGCAGGAATGATATTAACATAATAAACTGTGACCAGTTAAAATACCTCCTGCTGAGGCACTGGTGACAAAATGGGACAGTCAGGACCACTGTGATGGCCCACATCCTATTTAATACTCTTTTATCTCTCGTATTTCTATACTGGTTTTAAAACAAAATTATTTTAAGGGATAACATACATTGCTCTATTTCTACAGTAGAAATTGAACAATCCTAAGGAAGAATTGTGGTAGCTCAACAGATCCCTCAGTGAAATCAATACAAATTTTATGTGATTGGTGGAACTGACCACTCAAAAGCAGACTGAAAGGAATTAATTTGAATAAAAGGGGGGGAGGCATTTAATCTGTTCCACACCAGCAAGTTATGCAGGAACACAGCATACTAAGGCCCTCAGACTCCATCATTCCTACTTCTCCTCACACTATACAGAACACCATCAAAATCCAAGTAATTTTAGTGTTTCAATCTTACCTGTGTGATAGAATTTTCCTGAAAATCCCAGGTTGAAAGTAAAATTTGTAATCTGGGCTCTCAAGAGATTCTGAGTATCAAGCAGGGCCTGAAAACAAAACAAACCAGCATATAAACATACCTGTAGAAAATACAACCTGGCAGAGAAATTTAATATAACAATATAAATATTTTTACAGTTATGTACCTTTTCAATTGGTTTTGCTATTTAAAACCAGCTCTTTATGTAAGACAGAGCAGTACAGATATTTTTATTAGCACATAAAGATTAAAGACCGCATGAAAACTCCATCATTTCCCTCATGAAGATGACCAGCTATTAAATGCTGGGTTACTCCCTGAATGATGAGAGAGGAAAACAAAGGCATTCACAGAGAGAAGACCTTCCACTGGTCCCTCAGTAAACCTGGGCCACAGCCAGGAATGAATATCAGATCTCTTGTGCGCCCCCAGCACTGCTCCATTCACCAGGGTGAAGAGCAGCTGTCAGAGTTACATTTTTCTACATCAACTCAAGTACATCCACAGCGTTTCCATCCTGTTTCAAACTCATGGGCAACTCAAAAAGAAAAATCTGGCGAGACAGCAGGAAGCAAAATCAACCTTATCCACACCAAAGAACTGGATGGCAGATTCCCTCAAATACTGACTCATTTCTCAGACAATGAGCTGATACTGACTGTCAGCATCTGTGTACTTGCACTAAAGTAGTACAAACAAAAAAACAGCATGTAGGAAGAAGGAAGAAGCATTATTCATCAGGTACAGCTTCACTTGTTGGTTTCAATATGCTTTTCTTGATTTGTTGCTCCTAAGATTTACATATTACATTCAGTAGTTCTCTCCCAGGCTCTTACACCCTGCTGTTCCCTCGTTCAGTTTTTCAGGTGGAACACAGAAACCCAGTGTTCCAAACTTTGCAAAGCAAGAACAAAACAGAAGAGCAAAATCATCAGAAAGTTTTCCAAGTCAACATAGAGTATAGCGCAATGATCTTAATAAAGTGGTGGAAAGCATTACTACTGTCAGAGAAGAGTAACTGTGTTATGAATGGGGAATGTACTCAACTGCACAAGAAAGATGAATATGACTGGATATTCTCGAAGGTTGAAAGGTCTAGCAGTTGCCCTACTCTTGAAATGCAAAGACAACTTAGTGCCTTGAAAAATATGAACCAATAATTTTAATTAGTTTCCCTGAATATTTTCATAATGTAAGTGATTTGCCTACAATTATATGCCAATGACAACAAAATATGAAGAACTCCAGTCTGGTTGAGGCATACTACACTCAACTTACAATTCCTTAAAATATGACCCATTTTACAGATTGAGACAGTATCCACCTTATTAGAGCATACAATCTCTACTTTAGGTCTTCCCCAGGGCTCACCTGGTAAAGATCATCATCTTTCACTGCAAAGCCTGAAAACTGTCCCAGAGACAGCTTTAGAGACACTCTAAAAGAATGAGCAAAATGAAGCACAGAATGGAGATAACTGAAAACAAGCTCCAGACTTATGAAGCAGACTATTAAGTGAAAGACCTTGCAATGCTGTAATGAGGGCTTTTGCTTGGCTGAGAGAGTGAAGATCTCCGAGGAGGCTTCTTATTCTAATGAAAAGCAGCAAATCTGCACAGGATTTATATGAAAACCAACCCTGAGCTGCTCAGAACCTATTCGATGAAATAATTTTGTCTCTGCATGGTTGGAAAGTTAGGAGGCAAATAATGCAGGTATTCCCTTCCTGGGCTAAGGGCACACATGTGGAGGGGAAGGGATCCTGAGCACAGACTGACAGCGAGGTGGCACCAAGGGCTGCTCACTTCTTTCCCTCCACATTAAGAGCTGTGAGCATTTCTTGAGCTGAAGGTTTTATCCTGTACCTTTCTAACACCTTCCCAGCTTGTCACCTCCAGTCTGGTTTCAGCAGGATGGAAAACTAGAATGGCAAACAGGCTTTTCAAAGGCAGGAAGGAGGAAGGTGACAAGAGGCCCAAGACATTTCTGTAACAATGCAACACAAGAGTTCACTTCTTCCCTGGGAATTAATTTTGCCAGTGTGGCTCCCACCTTCTTGCCTCGTGCTGGGGATGTATCAGCTAATTCCAAGGGTGTGTACCTGCTCTGCCTGTGAAGAGGATGGCCCCAGACCTGCTGTGAACCACTCTGGGTACAGACAAGCCGAGCTAACATTTGAGTTGTCGTGCCTATGATTATTTTCTGGGCGACTTGACATTTTACTCATCTTTCAGGTTCTAAAAACAAAATGTTAAAACTCATGAAAAATATATAGTAGCAGATGGCAGGGCTGATTACTGTGAGTTTCCATCAGAAAGACAGAAAGAGAGAAAAAGTAGGGGGACTAAAAGCCTGAAATTTCTTTTCTACATGCTGTTTTATAAGCTGAAGGTAAACTGCTGGTATTTTCTGGATATATTATGATTGTTTATGAGCAGCCCCTCTGGGTAACTGCATGAGATGCTACATAAATACACCAGTACTGAATATTGTATTTTAAAACCGTCAAGCCTTCATATGTTTATAAATAATTATGTAGTACATGTTATATTTCTGCTGGTACTATAAAGAAAATAAATTGCTGGCTGCATAATCCCTTTCACGTACACAGTTCCAATGGAGTTCTTTCTTTTGAACTTCTCCTTAGCTCACAGACTAGGTTTAGGAAATTCCTAGTGCCAGAAATCAAATGTAAGTGTTCAATACATGATGAAAGAACCCTTGTTTCACTAATAGTAAAAACAGAAATCTCAGGAAAAGGCCCTGTTACAATTCAGGAGATAGACAAATGCTATCCCTACAGCAAAACAACAGATTTTCTCATCTCTCAAACGGGACAGAGACATGGACAGATGACATAGGCTGTCAATTTTTTAGGTCAAGTAAATCAGCTGAAAAGCCAAGGATAAAACTCCTATTTTCAAACCTGCTCCCCACTTCCACAGCCAGGAAGCCATCCTGCCTCCTGCCCTCAAATATCTCAGTGCGATTTCGCTTTAGAGTCTGCCACAGAGAAACTACAAGTGTCAGCCCGTCTTCAGCGAACAGACGGCTGCGATTTCTTCAGCATCAACACAAATATTCAGACTCAAATGCCTTGACTTGATCAAAGGAATAAATCAAGTTTGCCTTGTTGAACTCTGGTTCACCAAAGAGGAAGGATGCCTTCTTTGTGCAGTCACACCAACATATTTATGACTATTTTCCTGCTGAAAAGCTGCTAAAGAACTCAAGCACTTGAAAAGAGAAATAGTTCAATATGCTGGTAATTCTACTTGTAATCACGTACATTTCAACTAAATTGGCAAGCAGACAGACAGAGCCTCACAGTGCTGCAGCATTAACATCTTACACTTCACATCGGTACACGCTTTCATGTCAGCAACAAACACAAGGGCAGCTTCATCATTTTCCAGAAAGCCTTTCTCTTCCTCCTTTTTTTGGGAAGCAGATCTCATCTCTTAATGTTTGCTTATTTAAATGCTTTACTGTCTGACAATACTACCAAAGGAGCCATTAAATTAGGAATTATTTTGCTTGAGTAAAATTTCTGATGTTGTGTTGGCCCTTCAATAAAGGCAAGGAGCTTCTGAAAAGGAAGGACAAATTAATAACAAGTGTAATGTGAAAGCACCTGAGTTAAGCAGAGCAATCCCCTCTGGGAGCTCTTATCCAGAAGTAGCTTTAATTTCTCCACATTGTACTTCTTATATGAGAGGGAAGAAACAGAACTCAAGCCATTTTCTGAGTGGATTTCTTGGCGGAGAGAGGTTTAATGAGCCAAAACTGATGTGCTGTCCTTTTACTCTGCACTTTTTGGGCCTGCAGCAGAATCTGCTGCTAGGGTACTCACACACCACCTGCCTCCCTCAAGCTCCCCCTCCTGCAGAACCTGGGGTGCTGGGAAGCAGCATGAAAAGCAGGAACAGAAGACAGCCTCAGTGAAGGTCCAGCCCAAAAGGCTGGGAATCAGTATTTTATTGGACTGCTTTGCTTCTGAGGAAAAATGATTCCTTCATGATAAATTATGTATTTTGGAACATCATTAAAATGCAATGACTACTCTTTCTGGATTTCCAAGATTAGCAATTTGACACCCATTACTATAAACAATTAATAAGAATAATTGCTTTGAGTATAAGGATGTACCTGAAAAAAACATTTTATCTATCCTAAGGACGAAAAAGCTTAATTTGCCTTTGTGCACTCTCTTAGCAGAGCTGACATTACAGAGAGGGCAAGAGAAAAAACAAAGAAAACCTTCAGCTTTTTCTGCAAAGTGTATTGCTGGTGGAGAACAGGTAACCCAATTTTCCCCCTAAGTACCAATAAAGTATCAGGCTGAAGCCCAGTTATGTGCCCACTAAGTTCTTCAGTGTCCAACAGAAGATAAAAATTCAGGAGCCACAACTTCATCTTAGGTGTCCAAACTTATGCATCCCGTGAAGAATCCTTAAAACATAAAAAGCCACTTCAGAAACGTTGCTCAAATGATTTCAATCAAAAGTTTTTTCATCAGGACACACTGTTTTAAATGTCACTGGGTTTTCCTTTAGGGTTTTTTTTTATCACACACAATAATGATCTTGATGATAGTGCAAGTACGTATTTTCAAGTAATTAGGCTCTTTCATCTAGGTAAATCATTTGTACAACCAAGAGATTTAAGAAATATTTCTAACTTCCTTCACCAACTTCTCACTTCTTGGAGGCTGAGGCACCAGATAATGAGAACCAAGCTAATTACGGCAAGGTAACTTGAAGGTTATAAATACTTGCTGCCAATAGTATTTAATAAAGCAAAGTAATTAGCATGCTGTTTTCAGGGTTCTGTCTGAACTTCTGCTTTATTAGCTCTTAATTAAACTGTACTTAGATGAAAGAGGTTACTGTTACTAAACAGCTAAACGATCTCATTATTTTGCAGTTAGCAGAAATAAAATGCTGCATTTCTTTTAATTAAAGGTCAAAAAAATCCCAGGTCAGTTGAAACAGAACTAACACAACACCCTACTGGTACCTGTTTCCCCCTGGATTTTGGTCAGATAAAATTCAATAGAAACCTTGCTGGCTACATTTTCACCTAACAATTGACCTGCTTATGTAACACCAAGTATTAAGAGATGACTTCTCAGAATGTAACAGAACTGACTAAAACCGAAGTGGCTCTAAAATGAACTTAGAACCTCTTGGCATTTTTAAGTTCTTGTGATCTGGTGATGGTCAGTACAGAGGGAATGTGAGGTTTGCCAGCCCCAGTGGAAGCACTCCAGGAGCTGAGCTGCAGTCACACACAGCCTCACAGCTGCCTCAGCCCCGAGCACGACAGGCCAGCCCTCAGATGTTGTTCCAGGTCACTTCTGGGCCACTCTGCTCTGCCTGCTTTGTCTGGCCTGACTCCATCGCACCCCACCAGCAGCAGATAAATTCTAACAATTCTATTGTTCATTGATTTGTGTTGACACTTGTCTGGCTCCCGGGAAATGTTCGGCATTACACCTCTGCACCCCTCATTAACCAAGCCAGCTCCTACAGCTTCACACCCTGCCTGCAAGGGTGCACAGTGCTCTGTCACAGATAAAACAGCGGCATGGCTGCTCTGTCTAAGTGGACATGTATTTTATAGTCACCCAGCTCAGAAAGGACAGAGGTTGTGATCCGAGCTCCCAGCTCCACATTCATTATCAACAGCACATTTGCTCCTTATTTAATGTTTCCTCACAGGCCAGCTCCAGCTGCACCTCCCGCTGCAGGCAGCAGGCGGATCTGGCTGCAGGACGAGGCAGGCTGTCCATGAGCTCCGGCTGCAGCACATCCCGATCCTGATCCCTCACTGGATTTCTGCTGCCAGCTGTGGCTGGAAACCCCTGCAAGGCTGAGCTCTGGAGAAAGGGCAAGGCCTGATCTCTGAGCAGCAGAGAGCTCGGGGGTTCAGCTGATGTGCAGGCAGCTGCAGCTGGGGCACTGCACCAGCTCTGCTCTAAGTTTGGCCGTGGCCACATTCCCATGCACAAACACTGATGTTTTCCATGTGCAATTTCAGGCCTACCTTACACCATGGCTCGTGCACAAAAGGTGACATTCTGTAAAGCCTAGTTTACTACAAATTTGATTCCAAAACTGCTATTCCCAAGGTGCAATAGCCTGCAGCTCCTCTCAAGCTGCTGCCTAGGACCTGCTGTCCACGTCAGGTCTCCAAAGCACCTCCTTCCCTTCCCGCTCTGCCCCGCGTGTCCCATCCAGATAAAAAAGGAACAGTGACCTCATTCCAACCCCTGCCACCTTCCACTAGACCAGGTTGCTCCAAGACCCATCCAATCTGCCCTTGGACACTTTCAGGGGTGGGTCACCACAGCTTCTCTGGACAGCCTGTGCCACTGCCTCACCACCCTTACTATAAAAAACTCTCCATCCTGATGTCCAATATAAATCTTCCCTC